ATTGATAAGTAGTCATACTTTAGAGAGAAATTAAAAAATAAATGAATATTTTTATTTTTAAAATCGTAATAGGTTATTTAGATAACATATTTATTCAATGACAAACTCTACATAGATAACAAAATTTTAAACAAATATATTTAAAATAATAACTATAATACTTATATGATTAACAATTGCTACATATTTTCATATAGTGTTAATAAGAAAAATTAATTATCTTATTTCATATCAAAAGTTATTTTGTACACTTCAAATAATTGGTTGTTTTTTTTTTTGTCGTAATTTGTTGTTTTGTTAACATAAAAAAAAGAGAAATTTAAAAAAATGTCACTTTTCAAGTGCCACTTTACAAAAATGCCACACTTTTAAAATCTTTACAAAAATGCCATTTTTTCAATATTATTTTTTCTTTATATTATTTATGTTTGGGTTAATTATGTTCTATTAGGGTGTAGTTATGAGGGTTTATGGAGGTTTAGGGGTCAAAATATTTTTTAGTGTTTATAATTTTGAGATATAAGGTTTAAAAATCTATAATTAGTAGCATTTTTGCAAATGAACACCCCTACTAAATAACATTTTTGTAAATATACGCATAAAAATGGTATTTTTGTAATTTTTCTAAAAAAAAATATAACGAAATCAAACTTTTTGATAATATTGTAATATTGTAGTGATTATAAATGACCCACCACCAAAAGCAAGACATGATTTTCTTGCCTGACACGATCCTCTATGTTCCACATTAACTAACAAATATTAATTCATAAACTAAACTTATCTCTCTGTCTTTCTATATATCTCTTTGGATTGCATATATAATTGGTCGACGACGGCGGTACTGCTTCTTAGCCTAATCCTTCCCAAAACAGAAACTCTACGGCTTGACGGGAAAGATGACCGGTGGTGGAAGTCCGTGCGGCGCATGCAAGTTTCTCCGGAATAAATGCGTGGCGGATTGCGTCTTCGCTCCCTTCTTCGACTCGGAGGAAGGGACGGCTCATTTCGCGGCGGTGCACAAGGTTTTCGGGGCCAGCAACGCCTCCAAGCTCCTCTCCACGATTCCGGCTAGCCGGAGACTGGATGCCGTCGCCACGCTTACTTACAAGGCATTGGCTAGGTTGAGTGATCCAGTCTACGGATGCGTCGGTCATATCTTCGCCCTCAAACACCAGGTAGGTAAACTATAACACAATATGCTTTTCTCGTTTTGGTTTTAAAC